CTCCTCGGTGCCCTGCAGCTGCGAGTCCACGTACTCCCTCAGCGACTCCAAATCCCGCTTGCCCTTGTACTGATCGATCTGTGGGAGACACGGGCAGGCCGCCGGGCCAGCACTCCTCAGGGCTGGGTCACCTCGCCCGCCGACGCCCACGCAAGACCCCCCCCACCAGAGATGTCCTCGCAGGGCGCGCCAGCTCTGCAGGGGCTGCTGCTCAAATGTCGATGCAAAGTACAGACGAGCAGCCGAGTTTTGGTTCTGGTGAGAGAACCGTATAGGGCCTGCCTTCGGTGCAGCCAAGGCTCACAGGAGTCTGAGTGTCCTGAGAAGCTGACCGTCGGCTGGGGAGGAGTCAGGGAGTCAGCGTCTCAACAAAAGCGAGCGTTAATCCCTCTCCAAGGTCGTGATCAGAGCAGTTCCCCTAGGACCGTCGATTCGGGTTATTCTAGAGAAGTTTCAGAGGAGTTCCGAAATGCTTCAGGAGAGTGTAACAGGTTTTTGGGTTTTTCTCAACTATCTGAATCTTACCAATTAAGGGAAAGACATTCTTGTTCCAGGGTGTGTGTTCCTTTAAACCAGCGCCCAGACAGCACATACTGGGAATGCGCCACCCCTGTTAAGTCACTTGACCGCTCAGCCCACCGTGGCGAAGACAGACTTCTTCTGTGTCAACACGGAGCCCTGCAGACGTACCTTTTTGCCATCGCGGAACCAGAGGAGAGTAGGGTAACCTCGGACCTGGTTTCCGGAGCAGAGCTCGTAGTGCTGCGTGCAGTCAACCTGAAGGCAAAGACCGCGTGCCCGGTCAGTGTCTCGCGCGCCTGCCTGACGAATGGACCGTGGCACACTCGGTGCTCTGCTATGGGACTAGGATTTCTAACAGTCTGCGTCGGCAGCATCTCCGCCAGCAAGCTGCGGCTTTTGGAGAGAACATCCTAAAAGCTGCCCCCCAGCACACCCAAGCTGCGGTGCAAGGCGACGGTGTGCACTCCAGGGTGCACTCTGCTCACGTGAAAACGCCAGTGTTCAGGGAGCAGTATTTTACCCTGCGCGGGTGAGGAGCTGGACATCTGGTGAGGGGGATGCCTGGCCATCTGGGACGGAGAGCCACACCAGTCACAAAGCCAGCTGAGAAATGTGTTCTCAGGTTCAAACTTACAGAGTTTTAAAACCCTAGAGGAGCAAGGAGTCAATTTTAAAGAGAGAGAGAGAGAGAGAAAGAGAGAGAGAGTGTGTGTGTGTGTGTGTGTGTGTGCGTGCGCACGCACACATACGTATTTCGTGCACACATAATAAAGATAAAACTGAAAAGATTATGAAGTTAAGCATTTAACAAGCAATAGTGGGAGCTGCTTCGACGACGATTACAGCCCACCAGGCACCTGCTCCTCGCCAGGCACTGCGCCCAGCGTTTCACTTCCGTCCCCGCCAGCCCCCCTCACGCCGTTAGATCTCCTCGCGGTTTTGCCGTGGGGGAGACCGAGGTGGGGAGAGCTGCTCAAAGGGGGCCAGCCAGGCCTGCCCGAGTCCCAGGTGTCTGCTCTGGACCCTCTCACTGTGCTGGGTGGGCCATCTTATTAATAACTATAGTTCCTGGATATATAGCATCATTTCTCTACTGAAATCAGTCCCCCGGCAAAGCAGAAAATGAGATTTTTATGAAAGGAATCCAGGCAGGGGTGTCCAGTGGGTGCCAGAGGGTGGATGAGATTCCAAGCGCTCGAAGGCCCAGAGCTGCGCGGGGTGTTTCCAGGAAATCCGCTGTGAGGCCTCACTCCGGCCGCCCGAGGTAAAGCAGGAAACACTGGAAGGAATTCCAGGCAGCTGGGCAAGCCGGGCCACCCGCGAGGGTCTCCCGCACACCTGTGTGAGCACGGAGCCCGGGGTCCTTGAGGAAAGAGCTCTTGGGTGCAGTCCAACGTGGACGGTCTCCAAGTACGCCCAGGGAACGTTCTCCAAGGCTTGGCCCCGAATCTTTGCAGAAAGGGCTCTGGGGCTGCCAGCTCAGGACTGGCCACAGCTTCCTAACCCACAAAGGAGCCAAAGCCGTGATTTATCTCTAGGCCATGGAAGAGCCAGGCCACCATCTGGGAAGGTGACATGAATTATCAGGTGGCACACTAGATGGAATTAATAACTCAGGTTTGCGACTCCGCGCACAGAATGAATAATGGGCCACTCTGCTAATTAATGCAGCCAAAGGCGGCCTGTTTCCAGTTTAATAAGGGCTTTCGCTTACCTTGCCAATCTTGACAGTTTCGGAATGTTCGAGGCCCAGAGCCAGCTGCTCCCAGGTCGGAGCCAGAGCTTTGCAGTGACCACACCACGGGGCGAAGAACTTGATGAAGTGGTCTCCTTCGGTGGGGAGAGAGGCGGAGGGGAGAGGGGAGGAGTGTGATTTCCACCCACCAGCTAGAGGTCGGTGGGAAGCACCTCATCTTTGTCCTCCCGCACAGCTCAGTTCAGGGCGAGCCCTTGCACTGGGAAAAAGTGACTCCCCATCAACTATCACAAGGACCCTTAGAACAAAAACTTACTTGCCATCTTTGAAGAACAATAGGGGGCCAACTCATTATTTGGGAAAATGGCAAAAAAGGGAAAGAACCAGGCACCTGGCCTGTCTTTCCTGTGTGAGCTGCACCCCCAAATAACCCAGTGGTAAATGAGGGCAGGTGTCTCTTGCTAAAAAGATGACGCAGAGGGGCTAGAATTACAACAGCAGCATTTGGCGTCCCCAGTGAATGAGTGAGGTGGCTGCTGACATCACAGAGAGACTTTCCAGCCAGGAAGTACCTCCCACAGACATCAAACAGAAAGTGATAATGTTGCCAGACCCACC